AGTCAGAGACAGCAAGTACAGCCCTGTTCTTCTTTTTCCCCTTCATGGTTGTAAATGTCCAGACAGAATTGAGATATGGATCACATCCTACTGTAATTGCAAAACATGATGCAGCTTACATGATTAAGCACTCAGTGGTGGACTACTTTTGCACAGCATGGTTTCTACCACGTAAAGGTTTAGATGAAAAACATACTTCTGAAGCAAAAGTACAGCTACTTTATAAAATCTAACTGCCTACTCCACCACCCTTTAGCCAGCTCAAAACAAGATTGAGGATGATCCATGTGGAGGGTGTCATGGGGACAACATTGCAGTGGAACAAAAATCCGATGCTGAATAGCTTTTGTCTAGGGACAATCCTTCTGTTGAGGAAAGTGAAGCAGCCTCACTTTCTATCCTCAGCATCTATCAAGACGCAGTAGGGTGGGAAATGGCAAGAAACTGTTGGAGAACAAAACCGTACTTTCTCTAGACTAGCCTACGGCCTTCACGCAAGACTGTCTCACAGAGAGCATTGAAATAAGGTTCAAAGATCACACTTGGCTTGTTTATGAGAGGACACCATCAAGTAGCAAAATGCCTTTGCGTTGTGATTAAAAGCAGTACAATTAACTACTGTAACCCCAAGGTCTCCTTGAATTGTGAAGATCCTTTATAGACCTTGTCTCTTTTGGAGTATGAGTATTTTGCCATGTAAACATGGACTCACAACAAAATATGATGAAAAGCAATATTAAGTAAGCAATATCCCATGGTTTTCAAAATCCCTTTTATTCTTTAGCAATAATAACAGAGCAGGGAAAATTATGCATGCAAGGATATCAATTTAATAAGAGGACTGTAAAGTCTCTTAGGGGCATCAAGGCCCCAAATAAAATCAAAATGATTCCAATCAGATAAGCTAGTTTTGCAGACAACACTATGGAGCTGATCGATTAATGCCTTGATGCTGTCAGGATTCACCAACCAGTCATTCTCACCGTACCAAATGCTTATTGGTACTGTAATACGCTCTAGATTGTAAGATGGAGGCTCATCCTAAAAAGATGAAAAGAAATGAACTGAGGTGTTTTGCACTCCAAATGGCATCTTCTCTTATACTAACTGCAGATTGCCTATTGAGAACTAGAATGAATCTGTCTAGACCAGAGTTTCTCAACTTTGGCAACTTGAAGATGTGTAGACTTCAACTCCCAGAATTTCCCAGCCAGCATGGCTGGCTAGGGAATTCTGAGACTTGAAGTCCACACATCTTAAAGTCAAGTAAATGTCTTAATATTTGATAATTGTAATATAGTTAGACCAAATATTTTCAGTGATGGAAATATTTGCACAGTGAGTGAGATCTCCTGAGAAAATAGGAGTAAAACAATGGTTATTTTGATGGCCCTCCAGAGGGCCTTAAAGACCCGCCTTTCTCCCAGACTCTTAACTAGGACAGTTGGAATCCCTTGGGTGTATGATGTTATTATTGACTGAAATGTCCATTCTGTTTACAGTTTTCTGTTCTTTTCTGGTTGTATATTTGTTATTTTGTTTTTGTGTTGTGAGCTGCCAGAGCTGATTGGAGTTGGGTGGCATCCAAGTCAAATAAATTCAATTAATAAATAAATTTTAGGGGGCGTCATGTAATAGTGTTATACAGGAACAGGACTTTGAGTTGCACAGATATCATGCTTGCCTGCAGCTATGATATATGAGGATTTTCCCCCCCAATTCAACTATTATATACACACACACACACACACACAAACTCACTCCAATTTCTTTATCAAAGGCTGAAAAGAACTTAAGACTCTTTCAATGAATGAAGCAAAGAGGGAAACAAATTTATCTATTTGCCTTTGAACACTTGCCTCCCCAAAGTCTACTGGGTTTTAATAGCTATCTCTATTGAACCCTGTATGTTGTACAGAATATGAGTTGCCATCATTTTTTTTTCTTGTTAATCTGCGAAAAAAAAAAAATACTTGCAGCTAGCCTAGGACACACAATATTTTACATGCTTCTGGTGTACTTGCTGAAGAGACAGGGAACTTGTATTCCATAAACCATCTTACCTGATTGTATCTCTCCTTGTTTCCATTCCCATAATCAAAAGCTCTAAATTGTCCCGTTTTGTATATCTACGTGAGAGAGAGAGAGAGAGAGAGGGAGAGAGAGAGAGAAATGAATTCTAAATGACTGAAACTTCCCAGTTCTGGTATTTTATTACACTAAACACTGAAGATGTGGCTTAAAACACTGACCAAAGGCTTTAGGCAAATGACATAACTTGTCAGATCCAAGATCAGTAGAACTTTCTGTTACAAGTGTCACCAAAGTTGCTCTGATGGATGGTAATGGTGGTAATGCAGTGCACAACAATCACTTCAGCTGATCAAAGAGTCAAAGCCATGCTGTGCACTGTATCACATTCTGTTTATCATTGTAACACCCAGTAACACCCACTGTAATGCCTGGTACCCTCTAGCACCTTTCCAGCCAAGCTTGCTGCCACCGCCCTCAATTCAGATCTGTACAGTTCCTGGAAAGTTTAAGCATACAAAATCATCCTTGAAAAACAATATTGGATTTTCAGACACTTTACCTGTCCCCAGTGGAGTAAATTTTGAACAGATGTTGAATCTGGACAGTACGATAAGTAAACATCCATGCGGCTCTGTAACAGATATTTTGGTCATTGAAGTAGAACAGTGGAGTAACTTCCCAGCTTTCTTAATGGTGATGCATGGAGGTAGATTTAGTAATAATCCTCCTGAGTGCAGTTTAGTTTAGTTTAGTTTAGTTTAGTTTAGTTTAGTTTAGTTTAGTTTAGTTTAGTTTAGTTCAGTTTAATTTAGTTTATGGTAAAGCCTCCTTCCTTACCTTCCTTCTACATGAAGTTTGCAATGTTTACTATAGAAGGAGCCTTTCCTGCAGAATATATTCATTATTAAAGTACAAGATTGCTAAAGCTGTGATGAAGTGTATACTGCCTGTTAATTGATAGATCAATTCCCATTATTTAAGACATGGAAGTTCATGAAAGCAGTTATTTTTTAATCTCTGTGAGATGTTCAGAGGCTATTTCAGAATAATTTCAGACAGCTAAAATACATTTGATTTGATACATACCAAATTTAGATTCTTCTCATTAAATCCCCCAATAATTGAAGCACCCCAGGAGCAGAGTTTATTGTAAGTTTTGGAGCTGCACATTCGGATGGCCATTTTTCTCAAATTCTCACTTCTCAGACAAAAATTCCTCCTACCCAATAAACCCTGTAAATATATTAACGTTTTATATAGTTACATTAATGTGGACAAATGGATTCATCAATGTTCCAGAGGTTCTGCCTCTCCTGTTGATGAGGATGTGAGCATGAGAATTTTGCTCCAAAGCAAATAGCTTGGTAGAGCAGGGTGTGTGAGAAATATTTTACTTGATGCCAGGTTTTACTCTAATCATGCAAATTGCTGCACTTCAGAAATAATTAAGTGAATGCACCTTGATCTCTCAGGATCCCACCTAAAGGAGCTGAAATGCCCCTTTCAAGAGTTAGTACCCTGAAAGGAGGCTGTTTCAGATGCAAGCGTACTGAACAGAATCAGTACCAGAAGTGGCTATTGGCATTCTATGTAATGATATGTGGGAATGACCCTGGGAGATAGGGTGAAGGGCCACAGCCAGGGGAACAGTCGGATAAGGAGCAGCTTAGCCTGCAAAAGGAATGTGGGCATGGCAAACGTCTCAGAAGGGACCCTCTCTAGTTTTTTTGGGCTGTAAAGGTGATGGAGGAGAAATGTATTGTATTTTCAGACTTGCAAGATTCAGTTATTGTAACCTTACAATAAAGTAGAATTAGTTCATCTGGTTGTACTTCCTGTCTGGACTACCTCCCTAGGCTGACACTCTGCTGCCAAAGACTTTTCAGTGCCCCTTAAGGACTGGCCATTCTTAACAGTAGCTGCTCAGTGCTCAGCAATGGCACTGGCCTTTTCTTCCTCCTCCTCAGGACAAGTGAGAAGACTTACCCACCACTCGGTCAACAAGAGCTACCAGCTTCCTCTTCTAGAAGCAGCTAGAAGAAGGGATTTTCTGCACTGACTCAACTCTTCCAGACAATTCTGCCACTCCTGCTCTACCAGATAATTCAGAAGAGGAAGAACGCTGTCTATGCCAGATACAGTAAACAAGTTGGCCTTCTAACTCAGTTGAGTAAGATTCACCTGCAGCAAGATAGCAGTAGCCACCCACCTCCAATAAGAGCATAGGCTGTCAGCCAGGGATAGCTGAATGCTAAGACTGATGCTATAGAAGCAACATGCTCCTTTTCCTTCTAAGAGAAAAGCTGTTTGCATCTGTAGTTTGGTTGTGGTTTATTGTTGGGTTGGTTTTTGTCAGTTTCTCATTTGTGTAGATCTGCCAAATTTGGTTCCTCAGAATTTGGGTGCATTTTGGTGGCCCTTTTCTCAAAAGAGAACCATTTTAAGCACATGGCATTTTTGAAGGTGAGGTTCCCTCATATAAATAATTTTGGGAAATATATTTTCATGAATATATTTAGGTACAGCTGTTTCTCCGATCGACCTTTTTACTGCTGAATTTGTTATATTGCAAAATCTGGAAGCACGGACACTTTGAATGATAACTAAGTTTTGTTTCCTCTATTAGTCAGAAAATGCAAAATTAGAGAAAAGTGTATTCAGATGTGAACTGAATGAATTTCTTGCCCATCCTAATGTTAGTAGCTAACTCTTGATGTTCATAACTCTTGATGTTGGGCCTCCTGTGGCAGTATTGTATTTCAAGAAAATTCAGGCTAGCAAAAGCATAGGAGAGTGCATTAAAATGGTCCAGTATCAAGGGACCCTCTTGCTGCATGGGCTCCCCAGGCCCCAGGCATTAAAACAGTCCAAGATGGAAAAGTTATGCGCCCAAGGTTGATGTCAATGAGTTACAGGAGAACAATCATCAAATGATTGCAACCCTCATTTCTGCTACCACCATCAAGTTATATACCAAATACCTTTATTACATCATCTGACAGGAGCAGCAATTTTGCTACTGGGCTTTGGCAATTCTTAAGTGTGGTTGCTGGAGCCAAGGCATGGAACATTCTTATCTTTTCAGCCACATGTGGCATGGATGAAAGTGCAATCAAACCTGAGAACACAGACACCAAATATTAGCCTCAACCACACCTTTCCAGAGTTCCTATTTTAGGGTGAAACCCTAAGCACAATTAATAGAGATAAGAGGACCAGGACAGATTTACTTTGGGGCATGCATTCCTGATCCAACCAATTTTTGTATGCAGGTTTTTCAAATTAAAGATCCTTATGGGGAAAAAAGGCAGATTGAAACATGGAATATTACAATATGATCACATGGCCAATCTAGAAGTGCAGGGAAAGACATTTCTACTCATCAATGAGGTTTCTTCCATCACTTTATAAACATACTAGCTCTCACCCTTCAGAACTGGACAAATATCAGCTTGCATTTCTCTTGGAATCACTGGCCAAAACACTCAAATTTGCTTGTTAACACAATCTATGGCAGAAGTCTTTAAAAATAGAAATAAGTCACTTGCATGCAATCTGTCATTTATTTCAAAACTCCTGTAAAATAATTTAACTATTCGGGGGGTCAGTAATCTTTTCAGGCAGCAAGTATTCTTGTCTAATATTGCTCAATAGCACAGGAAGCAGAAATAAAAATAAAACAAATGTAAAAATAACTCAACGTTTCATTAAAACTAGTGAGATTACACAAGTTCATGTTTAGAGATCTTATGTAATGGCATTCTCCATTTTAAACATCACAGGATTTGGGGATTTTTGTCTAAAACATTGTGAGGTTTGACATTCTTATGAGATTTTGGCCACTTTAAAATGGTTGGTTATGGAGTTCTGCAAATACTCCTTGAGGACGTAGTAAGTGACCTGGGCAATATGTTGTTGTCTACTGAACTATTCAGCAACCAACATTTTTATTTCCCAAATACAATTTCTAGCAGCATAATATTACTTAATTTCAGAAAGTTGCATTCAAAGAGCATTTAGCGTTTTCTAGTATTCCTTCTGAATACTCATATTGATAAGCAAATTATTTTCAAACTCAGATCAGAAAAACTTGGTCAAGCTTTCATCCTGAACTAAAGAATTTAACTTGTTCTACACTGGATTTTCAGTGGCAATATAACTAAAGGCATGTGTGAAATAAGCATATATTAATGATATTCAATTTTTATTATGACTCTGTCTCTGTCTCTCTATCTCTCTATCTCCTGCCATTCTGCCTCTATGATAGCCATGAATACATGCTACAACTAAGTTTCACTGTGTGCAGTTTATATAGTAATAGTTTCTATGACATACTTTGAGTGGCACCTTGGGAATAGCCCACTAAATGTATCTTGGAATTTCTGGTTTTTTCCACAATAAAAGAAATCATTGCTGGAAGGTCATATCTGGCCATTTCATCAAAACTGTAAGATATAATAAACAATTGATATTAAATAAGATAACTGATAGTTTTTATGAACTCTCTAATTCAATCAATGGGATTTCAATATCATAGAAGTTGATTGAAATCTGGCCCTTGTGAGGATGGATAAGGATTGTGATCCAGTGATAGAAATAAATGTACTCTGAATCATGGGTGTCTGTGGGGAAGGGAGTTGAAAAGGCCAGATGATGGCCATCATCATGACTGGTCCTGTCTTTTTTTTTTTTTACATGCATCATATGTGTGATGCATTTAAAAAAAGGGGATGGGGGGCTTTGATGGTGCAATTGTGATTGTAATTTTTTTTAACCTTTTCTGTAGACACCTCTGCTCTGAACTCTGCACATACATTCATGGGCAAGGAAATAGTTCATATCACCATCAGTCTCCACAAGTGCATGGACCTTTTCATTCCATTGATTCTAGGTAAAAACTGATAAACATCCCTAATATGACTCCTAGAAAATAGTAGTAAATATTTTAAGTCGATGTATTGAATCACCATATCATAACATTTGACAATGGACAAATCAACTGATGGATTTTTCTATAGTGCATTGTTGCAAATAAGAATCTGAACAGCCTATTTCTTTGTTACTAATTTTAACCATTAGTTATATCATGCTATTCACATGATATATTGAAGGATGACATAATCAGTTAATTAATATAAAAGAATTAAGGACACACTGTCAAACAGGGCCAATACTCTTTATTTTCAAAATTCACCTCTTCCATTCTTGGCGTTGAATGTTTAAATCTTGTATTCTAGAGTAAAAAGCCAAATGTTCCTCCTTCACACCTGCTTAAAATTTAATAGTATGTATTTTGAACAAGGACATTGGAAATGCAACTAAACGACATGCATCTGTGAACAGAGTTTTTCAGTCTGGTATAAAATATTCTGTTCCAGAATTTATTACCAATAAGTGCAATTAAAAGCAAACAAAAAATACAGATCCCAAGCCTTTCTACATGTTCTGCTTTAAATTACCTGAAAGCATGATATTGCTGTTGCTTGGTTGAAAGGTATTGGTGTTTTCGAGACCAGGAGTTGCCTCTGTTGTTCCCTATCCAGACATCATAACCTGCATCTGCTAACATGAATCCAAGACTTTGATGGGGCATGTTTGCAACCCAGATCCTTCCTTCTACAGCAAAGCCATGCTGCAAAAGCACAGCTGGTTTTCGTGCTGTAAAAAGATACCACAAAGATAACTGTGGGCATCAGGTCTTGAAATTTGGAATGAAGTAGGCTGCCCAAGTTTGTTTATCATGGACATATTGAATGGCTCTGGATGCAGTACCAACTTAGGTCCTTGATTCTTGACACACACACACACACACACCCCAGCCCCAAGTTTACATTAGAGTCTGGTTCAGAACTGGAGCAAAATACCCATAATTTGCTGAAAGGCACAAATTGTTTATGTAATTTTGGTCTTCCATGGTCAACGGTAATATAGAACCATAAAAGGAATTCTGCTTTTCATTAAGGGGTCATGGGAGCAGTTCATCAGTTGGTCATTATATTAATGATTTATCCTGCTCAATCCATTATTTATCATTCCTTTAAATAACAGTACAGTAAAACACTTGTACATCAGGAGATGGAATTTATTTTTCTGTTGAGGACCATATTCCCAAAATCTAATCTGTTAGGGATTACATGCTGGGATGAAGGATATGAAAGGCAGTTTAGGAAGGGGCTAAAGCCCAAAATGTGTAGAGGGAGTTTCTTTTTCCTCTTTTTCTCCCTGCTTCCCTTCTCTCTCTTCTTCTCCATTGCTTGTCTTCCCAACAATTGAACTGATTGTAAATTGATAACTTACAAAATGCTTTTTAGATATAACTGAGATCCATAAAATTGGGTAAAGTTGTCCATATGTAATTTAAATTGAATGTGTTTATAGTTCCTTGAAGTTCTAATCATAGAGTGCTATAGTTTTAATCATAGAGATAATTAGTTCCTTGAAGATTAGCTTGTTTGTATACCACTTTGGCCTCCTTCAGATGATGTAAAACACATTTCATGTTTATGTAGTTGACCTTGAGTTTGCTAGCCATGTCCATTTTAGGGGTCAATCACAGCCTGGAATTAAGGATACCATAATGGCTACAAACATTGGGCAGCTTTCATTCCACCTCTGTTTCCAGATGTTTCAGTTCTTGTGTCTTAGAAAGTGACTTAATGGAAGGTATGAAGTCACATTATAGTTGTCTTTCCCAAGAGACATGACATCAAAGTGGGAGGAATGTAAATGAGTGCTATAAAAAGGAGATGGTTGGGAACAGCTGATACTTGGAAGGAAAGATCCAGTTCAGGGTAGAATGACACCTTCTTTAAGAAATAAACCAAACTTGTATGCTTCTGTTCTCTTAGAAAAACTCCTGGGCTTCTACTGATCTGTGTTTTACTCTGTACTAAATCTTCACAGAGGTAGAAGAAAACATAGAACTGTATTTCAGTTATCTTCCACAAAAATCCAGAATTCAGCATTTTAATTTTCTTATCCATTGCAAACACTAATAATAAAAGAATACCAAGCATTGATCAGCATGGTTGTGACAACTCACTCCAATACAGGTAAGCAGAAGAATTAGGGTGGGGCCAAAAATTTCAAAGTGGCAAGCAAAAATTGTATAATCCAAGCTCCAAATGTACTTTTTTGGCCTATTCCCTACCACCAGTAGATGCCCCTGCATATAAGCTCCTTCCTGGAAGAAGACAGAAACAGGAAAGAGCAATGCTACTGCAGTTCGGTTTCCTTTGGGAGAGGGATTGTCCCCAACATTAAGCAATGAGAAGAAATAAATGTATTCCCTATTAGAGGATTAGCTAAAAGGCCAGAGAAGCTTATGATTCTATGGATGTTTGGACCTATCAGACCTATCCTTTGCAACACTCCCTATTAAAGTGACCATAGAAATATCTGGCCTCATAGGCCAGTAGGAAGGTGGAGAGGACAATCAGATACTGGATTCCTTCTTCTAAAACTGGAAATCTGCCTCTGGTCTTGGAGCATGAAACCTATTTAATAGTTCTGGGGAAGCTTGTCCTCAGGGGCCATGGAACTGTACCTTTGTTTGTCAAAACTCTGGACAGAGCTTTTTTCTGTCTATATAATGACTTGCCTCTTTTTCTTGAGAACGGATCTGCAATATTCTCATATCTGCAGATATATTATTCCATGATGTAACAGTATGTGAGAAAGGCCTTGAAAGACAAGTGAAGAGATGCTGCCTAGGGAACAGTCAGATAAGAGATGGCATAGCCCACAGCTGCATAATGGCTGGAGAAAGAGGCTCAGAAGGGGCCCTCACTAGCTTTCCACGCTGTAAAGGAGACAGCAGGAGATTTGTACTTTCAGACTTGCAAGATTCTGTTAATGTAGCCTTACAATAAAGGAGAATGAGCTCATATGGTCATGTTTCCTGTCTGGCCTATCTGGGAATCATTAGTGCCCAAAATTATGAGAGACATCATGGTGAAAAAAATGCATCCTAGATCCCTTGGGGTAGGCATATGTGCCTACCTCTGTACACATTTGAGGTCTACCTCCTTGATCCTTCAGTCTTCAAAAAGGTATGGAAGAATCAGAGGAACTGGGCAGGATATCCCATTCCTGCCCTGGGCAGGGTGATAGAGAGAAGACCTGCAAGATCCTTCCAACCTTTCCAAATCTATGATTCTATAATCCAGTGTATCTCACCCTTGGCAACTTTAAAATGTGTGGACTTCAACTCCCAGAATTCCCCAGCCAGCATGCTGGTTGTGCCAAGGTTGAGCAACACTGCTATAATCATTTGAAAGTTCAAGTTGTTTCTTTTCTGAGATAGAAAGATGATCGGTTATGTAATGTTGGCCACTCCAATGGGACAGGTTAGACATGCCTAAATTGTTTCTTGTAAAATATTCTAAACGAACTTTTCATAAATATTTCCCATGATTTTTTTAAAAGTGGCACAGTCTTCTTTGTTTTTACTTACTTAGGTTGCAATGTTGATTTCTGTCATAAGGAATTCTGTTTAGAGTGAGGATGTAACCATCAGAAGTTACTACTTCATATTCTTCAACTTGGTATCCTTTATGGCGAACGATCTCACTCTGTTGAAGCAAATCTCAGTATAACTACATCATGTTTTTATGTTACCTGTCAACTGGCACTTTATTTAAGTGTAAAATCACCTAAAAGAAGTCCGGAAATATCCAAAGGATTTTTTTTCCCCTTAAAAATGTTGAATATCAAATGTGAAAAGGATTGGAAGAGTTCATGTCTTTCTAGTACCTTAAAAATTGGAACATGAATGTATTGTCAATAGAACACCTAGCACTTTCTAACCCAGAAGACATTACGTCATCCATAATGGAAATAATTAAGGTCCCTGGAAAGATCTTGTCTTATTTATTTATTTTTAAATAAATAGATGTATACACATGAACCAAAATGGTCGTATAAAATTATCTAAATGCAAGTTTTGCTCTCTTTAACATGGCAGAGAATAATTCCATTTTTCTACTTCCAGCAACAGAGTGCTGAAACCTCTGTTTTAAATGTTTACTGTATGGAACCCATCTTATTCTTATTGTCATTTTCAGCTTTGTTAGCCCTTTGAGGTAGGGAAGGTCAAGAAACAGAAGCAGTAGGATTGTTCGGGAACACTCTTTATTGTTGTAGGCTATAAGAACAGAATTTTGAAAGCCCATCAGTTCTCTATGACATCTTAAACAAAATCAAGGGAGGGTTATTTTGATTGTTTTATGCTTTCTGCTTTTCTACGACTGAATAAACATGGAACCTTAAACATCATGTTTTAAACATTTATTCTATGGACCCCATTTATCCTTACTGCCATTTTCAAGTTCTGTATTATATTATACTGTATCTACCACCAACAAAATTGCAGCTTACAATGTTCATGTATGCTTCAGGATTGCCTCTTTTGGGTATTGTTCCTCCAGAAGACAAAATGCCTTGGACTGCAAAAGCCATTAGAAATAAGAGCCACATCCTGTACCTATATAATAATAAAAAAGGTCTTTAGTACCTTGAATAACATAAACATTTGATGCCAGTAAATCATGTTTGTAATTGCTAGCTTGTCCATACAAAAGTTGTAACAATTGGGAACTATTTTGCAATCATTCTGTAATTAATGACTAGAATTAAGGACTTAGCTGCTTGAAGATTTCCCTGTTAGCAAAGAGCAAGTTGGAGTGCTCTGTTATTTATTAACATTGCAGTCTTATGCCTATTCATACGAGTTGGAGTGAGGTACCAGAGGATGCAGTCTATAAGAATGCCAGGACTGGATCACTGGGAGTCAGGTGGCATATAAATTTAATACATTATCATCATCATCATCATCATCATCATCATCATCATCATCATCATCACCACCACCACCACCACCACCACCACCACCACCACCACCAAATATTTTTGTTTTTATTGTAAGCAGCTGTATGAGGGTCATACATTTGCTTGGAGCACTGTAATGGTATATAGAAATGATCCTGGGAGACAGGAGGAAGAGCTGCAGCCTAAACGATGGTCTGATAATGAAATTTGAGTCTGAAGGAGGGATGGGGGTAGAGAAAGCATCTCAGAAGGGACCCTCCCTAGTTTTCAGGAGAGCACAAGTGAGGGACGGGAGGGGGACTTTCAGACTTGCAAGATTGATGTCAGCCTTGTGAGGTTGTCTAAAGAAGAAGCACGCTCAAAAGTACTAGCTCTGTAATGTAATGTACGGTTACATTAACAGAGTCTTTCTCTGGGTTTGAAAAAGTGTACTAATTTCTTTTTTGGTTGTATATATTTCCATTTTTGCCTGTTTTACTTTCATCCAACTGATGGCCTTATGGGTACAATAAACTTTGGATTTAATTTGGGATTTAGAAAGATAAATTCTGCAAGAAATTCTGCATTGAAATAAGTACTTACATTTTAGGGGGTGGATTTTTTTAAAAAAAATTACAGATTGGGACTGAAGCAGGAGAAATAAAATTAAGCACATGTATGCAAAAGTAACATAAACCAGCCTTTTCCATCCATATTCTTACTGATTCAGTGAAACACATGTATTCCTTTGCTAACCCACTGTGCTAGGATTTTTGTTAAGCAAAGTAAACTTGAGAGAGAATACAAATGCTCTCGGTGATGTCCGTATAAATCTGACATCCATCTATTTAATGGACTATTTTTAGGGGGATCACAGCTTCTTGAATTAGATTATTTTTTTAAAAAAATGGCCCACTCTTCATAAACCTCTGATGCATGTATAGAAGAATCTAGATAAACAATCAGTGGACATTTGTCAGAGGAGGCGGGTTGAAGAGGAGTGCCCCTACCTATCTTCTCTGACAAAGGAA